TTTGTATTATAATTTATAATTTGTAATTTGTATTATAATTTATAATTTGTGATTTGTAATTTGTAATTTATGATTTGTAACTTGTAACTTGTAATTTGTATTGTAATTTATAATTTGTACTTTGTAATTTGTGATATTTGTTATTTGTGATATTTGTGATTAGTATTATAATTTACAATTTGTACTTAGTAACTTGTAATTTATATAATAATTCACAATTTGTATTTTGTAACTTATAATTTATATTATAATTCATAATTTGTACTTTGTACTTTGTATCTTGTAATTATATTATAATTTCTATTTCGTAATTTAAAAGATGGCCGTTTGTTTACCACTAGAATAAAAATTTTCTGAGAAATTGGAAAATTAATTTGTGTCTGTATGATGCAATAAGAGACAAAAAAATTGTTAAAGAAAAATTGTTATAATTTTTGACCGAGAAACTTGGTCCCAGGTGCGCGTATTAATATGAATGACGAGATTCTTGTGTTTACGCGCACACGACTAATCTCCGATGGGTGACCGGGACGGTGCAGTGTACGGGGTGGCACGAAATCTTTGAACATCTTTTGGTAGACGTACTAGTGGAGGTCTGGGTAATGTCAATTGTTTTATGGGACACTTTGATGACGATTTAGGTCGATTTTTATGGGATTTGCGGAGGGTCTCGAGAATTATTTAGTATTAGTTTCAATTATTATACATTTATTATTATTATTTATTAAGTATTAGTTTAAATTATTATATACTTATTATTATTATTTATTATTATTAGTGTTAATTATCATATATTTCTGTTGGAAATTAGTTATTTTTTGAAGGATTTTTGAAGGACTCTTGAAGGACTCATATATTATAAATATATTTGTATAATAGTAATGATTACTTATAGGATAAGATTGAAGTTATAGTACATTTATAGTATAATTATTTATAAGTTTTTAATTTATTATTAGAATAACATTTAATATTACAAGAATAAGATTTTTGTTATAAATTAGTTGTTTTTTGAAGGAGTATTACAAATATATGATTTCCAAGTAATTATTTATAAATTTTCAATGTATGTATGTACAAAGTACTGTTATCACGTGAGAATTAATTATAATAAAATTCCGGTTAGAATCTCGTTGATTGCTTGAAACCAAACTTAATAAAAACCATAATATTTAAAAAATTTTTTAACCTTCAAATTTCTAATTATTTTAATTTCAATTTAAAAAAATTTTTAATAATAAAATTAGGTATAATGCTTTATCATATGGTATCATATTTTTTATTACCATATTATTCGAACTTACTAAACGCATTATTTATGGGACGATCCCATACCAAATCCTCCCAAGGTCAAACAACCCGAAAGTCAAATTATTCTTGAGATTACCAATTTTAATGAAGCACACACAATAATTGTTCGCAGACAACGTAAACAAGCCGAGTTTCAAAATCAGCCGTCGGACGGAACGAAATCCAATTTCACGGGATTAATATTCGGGTGTTGTCACTGTCCTATAATGGGGAGCCGTTGATCCGTTGCCGCGCGGTGCCAGGAATTCCTGCGTTACCATGGACCACGAGATAAAAACGAGTCGCGGCGGCTCTGCTTCGCGGAAAGCCCCGGAACGAACGATCGAGTCAGCTGTAAACCGACTTGGCGGTCAGCTGTGAGGCTACTCGTGTTCTGCGTCACCGTTCCTTCGAAAACTGACACCTGACCCTCGATTTACGCGACTTTCTTTACGCGAGCTTCCTTTTTTTGCGGTAAGTTGGAACACCATTTACGCGGTCTCGATTTACGCGGACTCTTTTTACGGGGTGAGTTGGAACACCATTTACGCGGTAGTTTTCACGCACGATCTCGATTTACGCGAACTTTTATAACGTAGTTAACGAAGTTAAAGGTTCGTTTCCACTGAATCCATAAAATTAGTCTAATTTACGTCGTGTTTGGACTCGTTCTAACGAGAATCTCAGTATTCTATCGGTATTACGATTGAAAAGGTGAGATTAAATATGTAGTGAAGAAATTTTCAATTGCAGTTATGTTAATTTGAGCTTGTCAAATGTAGTACAAACGGATTACTGGGATTTTTCTGATTAAAATGAGTACAAACACGATGGGAATCGGACTAGATTTACCAATTTAACGCAATTAACGAAACTAAAGGCTCGTTTTCATGAAATCGATAAACTAGTCCGATTCCCATCGTGTTTGGACTCATTTTAATCAGAATCGGACTAGTTTTACCGATTTTACAAAACTAAAGGCTGGTTTCCATCAAATCTTAAAACTACTCCGATCCTCATTGTGTTTGTACTTATTTTAATCAACACAATCTCAGCAATCCATCAGTACTATGATCGAGAATGTAACATTCAACGTACAACGAAGAAAATACCAACTGCAACCATCCCAACCTTACCCTCTCAAACGTAGTCTCAGTGAATTTCTGAGATTGTCCCGATTAAAACGAATCCAAACACGACAGGAATCGGAAGGTAAGATCAAAAATGCAACGAAGAAAATTTCAGTTGCCGTAATTTTAACCTTACCTTTCCCAATATAGTGCCAGCGAATTTCCTTGACGGTTATTTTGTGTCAACGTTCACTCTACAGATTAAACACTGACGAATCATCTCTCATCTCCGAAGATGGCGAAACGGATTTTGAAGTGCTTTCGTGCCTCTCCGCTAAATCTAATAACTTCCCGAAGCACAGCAGCCGTCCTACTTAATCAATTCCTCGCGCGGCGTTCTCGTACGCATCCAGATTTCGCTGGACTCATGAATATTTAACGTCAATGCCGCGACACGGAGATACAGGGTGCTCCTAAATTATCGCAAGTCAAATCAATTTTCCTGAAGAAACGAAGGGAAAAGAAGGAATTTTTATTGTAAAAGGAATTTGTTGTTTTTAGTACTAAGAAATTATTATTATTCAATTGAAATTGAAATTATTATTATTCAATTGAAATTGAAATTATTATTATTCCATCGAAATTGAAATTTTCATTATTCAGTTGAAATTGAAATTATTATCATTCAATCGTAATTGAAATTTTCATTATTCAGTTGAATTTGAAATTATTATTATTCGATCGAAATTGAAATTTTCATTATTCAATCGCAATCATTATTATTCACTTGCAATCACTATTATTCAACTGAAATTATTACTATCCAATCGCAATCATCATTATTCAATTAAAACCACTATTACCCAATTAAAATCGATATTACAATAACACGTATTATCCCCAGCACAAAAAAAACCGTTCCAGCACACCCGGTACAACACGAGAGGCAATTAAACGCGAATCGAAAAAGTTACACAATTTTCAGAAATAGCCACGTTTAAGGCGACCGTCAGCGGACCATTGTCTCACCTGAACCGCTGGAAAGAGGAAGAAAGATTCCACGAACGGTCACCGCTATAAACTCGCACGCTTACATCATCGGTAACGTCGCCGCGGAAGCTTCATTTGCGTTGCTGTCGCCGAGGCGTGAAACGCAGGACAGCCGTTCGCGACCTTTCCCGATACACCTGACCCTCGAGATTTGTGTACCAAAGAGATTGTTGCAAAAGGTTTTTGGGGGAGTCAGGTGGACCTCTTTTTTTACTGTCCGCTACAGAATATTGTCTTGGTTAGATATTTTTTATAAGACTTGTAAAGGTCTTTTATTAAAAATTTATAAATAATTATTTATAATATAATTGTAATATATTTGTGATATATGAGTTCTTCAAATTTATATTTAAGTAAATATTACTGTTATACAAATATATTTATAATGTACGAGACCTTAAAAAATCCTTCAAAAGTCCTTCAAATAAGTGCCAAGTTACGTGCAACGAACGGTAGTTCAGAGTAAACATAAACAAAACGATCATAGAATTCTTCTTTTTTAATGGATTATTGATGAAATAGTTCTGCCGAGTATGAGTGCCAAGTTACGTGCAACGAACAGCACTTCAGATTAAACATAGACAAAACGATCATAGAATTTTTTTCAATGAATTATTAATACAGTTCTGCCAATTATAAGTGCCAAGTTACGTACAACGAACGGTATCGGTCACTTTGCGGACTATTTTTATAAAATACCAGGTTAACGTCCTACGACACGCTACATTAGATTATATATTGCAAAGTGAGGTGTCGCCGCGTGTGAAGCGTTACACCGTCGAAGCTTCCTAACCGGAATACGTGGAAATGCGCAATCGACGGGAAAATCCGCCGTGGGAGGGAAAACACGTTCCTTCTTTGCTGCAATTATTTCAGTTGACACGCGGTCAACGGAACTTTTATCGACCGAGGAAATTACTGGGCTGGAAGTGTTGCAATTTTTAGATTGACGATATTAATATTTAGAAATTTGATAAATTTAGACACATATTATTTTATTGTAATTGTTGCAATTTTTAGATTAACAATATTATTATTTAGAAATTTTCTAAATTTAGACACATATTATTTTATTGTAATTGTTGCAATTTTTAGATTAACAATATTAATATTTAGAAATTTGCTAAATTTAAAAACATATTGTTTTATTGTCATTGTTGCAATTTTTGGAGTTGACAGGCGGTCAATAAAATTACTGGGCTGGAAATGTTGGAATTTTTAATTCTTGGAATTTATTAATTTTTGGAATTTTGATGAATTTGGAAATAAATTTTGTTTCATTTTTCATATAATTAAGAATATTAATTTTTGGAATTTTGGTGAATTTAGTAATAAATTTTGTTTAATTTTTCATATGATTCACAATATTAATTTTTGAAATTTTTGTAACTTTAGAAATAAATTGTTTAATTTTTTACATGACTGACAAAAATAATTTTTGCAATATTAGTATATTTGGAAATAAATTTTGTTTAATTTTTCATATAATTTTATTGCAATGTATCATTTATCTTTTCATTAATTCATGGAAAATCTTTATTTGTTTAAGAATCTCCTGGTGGTTTATAAAATGAAGTTCAAGTGGATATTATAATTATTGTATGTAAATTGTTTTTTTATTGTTAAGAGTGCTTAGAATTTTATTGGATAATTATTATTATTAAAAAAAGGAATTTAAAATTTAAAAGTAAATTGAATTTTTGGGGTTCAAGTTAAATTTATAGAGAAATTGTTTAATAAAGGTAATTTAAGAATTTAATTTACTTGAAAATAATGGGATTGGTATATTATTATACAATAATTCATTTTCCAATAATTAAGGAATATTATTCAATTAAATTGTTATTATATATCCATAACAACCAAACAAAATTAATTTAAATTTGGAACCCAAAATATCTAAAAGCGAACTGTAACAGTCTAAAATCGTAGCACTTGACTCACTTAAATATAACTTGGAGCTGCGATACTTAATTAAAAATAGAATAGAGGATAAAATATAACTTTTAATGAAGACAGTTGAAGTTCCAGAAATACTGTACAGTCTAGACTTGCTCATATTCGTACCGATATAGAAATGTAAATGTTGGAGTAAAGGGATCTTCAGAGAATAGAACAGTAACTTGTCTCGCATCACATTTCATTAATTCGAATAAGGACTCAGAAGATTGGCAGTTCATTTGAATATTTATGAATCTCACGTTTTAAACTGTGAAATGAGACTCGTTTGCCCATATAAGTAACTCTGCGGAGTGTCAGACTGAACTTTTACGGTTAGAATTGTTTCAACAACTATGTACAGCCCTGAATAATAGTTTCTGAGTTCTAAGAGAAAAAAAGCTTCTCCGAAATGCTCTTGGACTAATTAAGTACTATTATTAATAACTAGTAATAAGTAATATTATCAATAACATTGTTACGTTGAATTATAATTAAGTTAAATACGACTATTATACTCACTAACATTAATAATTAATAATGATTACTATTATTAACAGCATTATTAGTTTCAGAATTTAATTAATTCAAGAACATTTCGTAAAAGCTTTTATTAAAACCTCTGTTAAGTTCATCGACGATAACAATAAGAAGCAACCACAAGAAATGATAATAAAATTATAGTCATAGATCAAATTCAATAATTATTTAGAGATGATGGTACAAAATTGCAGTTACATAACCCTCAAATGGATCAACTCGAACATTGAAGCTTAAATCAACAAATTTCAAGAAAACGTGGAGAATGATGTATAGAAGAGGAACTCATCGCTCGAATGCAATTTTGCTGCGAGCTAAACAGTTTTAAGGTGTGATACGCAACTTTTGAACTGATGAACTCAAACACTGAGGCTTAACAGCAAATCTAACAGAAAATTCTTGGAAAATGTAGAAAATGATGTACGAAACAATAGAAACGAATCGATGGTAAGCAACTATGCGATAGACTAAACAATTTTAAGGTGTAACACAATCCGATGACTCACTCCAAATAATGTAGTGTCTGAGAATACACGCAAGTGTTCAAATACAGCGAGACCAAATTTGCACAGCATGTAGAGTAGGCGAAAAACATTTTCATGAACCTTTAGTTGAAAGTTCCGTTTGGCCAGATAGCAATGCACAATAGAAATTATTCTCGAATTCTCTACGAAGTAAATCATTCTCATTTCCTTTTATCACTTCAGGTTTAATTACACTGTCCAACGAATGTTAACTTGTTATTTGTACCTCAAATACAAGAACATATTTACGCTTAAATATTTTCAATTAACATAATTACATTCAATGGAGCCACATTCAGATGATTTTTGCAGATTACTGTTATCAATGGCAATAATTTAATTGTATGCCATTTTATTAATTTGCTTCTTTGTTATACTTGCTGTTTACAAATTATAAGAATTTAGTACAGCAGAAGAAACGTTTGCCTACCTGAGTCTCTTGAACTAAAGCTTGCATGTTTTGATATTCGATAAATTCCAATAATACACAAAAAAGCAAAAGCGTTTCAACACGTTTACTTCCAGATAAAATATTTCTATTAAATTAATCATTGGTTTTAGACTAAAAAATTGTTATAATTCCCTTAATGTTCTTAACTACAACCTGTTTAATTTTCTATATTCTTGTTTTCATGCTCCGATAGTGTTAAACATTTTTATTATTATATTCCCGGACAAGAACTCTTGAAAATTGTAAACTGTTTATCCAATATCGGTGTCTCTAATGACACGATGCGTCCAAATAGCTGGTGAATGCCAGTGGAAAGACGAAAGAGAAAAAAGGGGTCGTAGAAGCGAAAGAAAGTATGTAAACTTACACTTTATGAGCTGCACAACATCCGTATGCGTGGACTGCATTACATTCACGCCGTTAACCTGGAAAGACCAGTCGCAATTATAAACACTGTACATGTCCAGCAATTTACACTTGCAAAATAAAAGCCAATGAAATCCGTAATACACGTTATTTACATTTATGAGCGCGACAACTGACATATCTTATCACTACCTCCCACCGAAGGTGTCGAGAGACATCATTTGAAATTCTAACCTAAAATTAGTTTCTACGGTTAGTATAATCTGGATTGATTTTTTGAGTTAATAATAATGATAATTTTGTAATCGTTGTTTTGTAAAGTTAATTTTATAATCATTGTCTTGTAAAGTTAATTTTATAAAATTTTATAGTTAATTTTATAAACTATAGGAAAGTCAAAAATTCAATCAAGGATAAATTATTTAATTGAGAAAATTATTTTAACACATTGCACACTGGTAACGAGAAATTTCGTTTTTTTATAGACACTTATAATTTATAATTTATAATTTGTAGTTTTATAATTTATAGTTTATAACTTATAGTTTATGATTTATAGTTTATGATTTATAGTTTATAATTTATAGTTTATACTTTATAATTTA